CTGGAATGAGAAAATGATATGACAAAATTATTATACCATACTTTATATCTATTCTCTTAGATAATAATGTAATAAACGTACGATAAAGTTCAAAGGAAAAAATGAATTTCTTTCTTCTCCCTTCTATCACGATTATTCGTTTCTCGAAAAACGATCTTGAAAATTGGATAATATCTCATACGTTATAAAATTGCGTTTACTTTATTCACGACTAAATGATCATAAGTAATCATTAGGTCGATCGTTCGTTATCGCACGTTATCGCTTTTATTTCTGCGATTTTACTTGCTAGTTAATCGAAATGTAATGTCGATCGAATATACGATCGGTGTCGAATAAAAGTGTAATATCATTACGGAAAGTAAATTACCCCGGTGTGTGAGCTCATCGCAATTCTCTCTTTAATATCGAAATAATATAGACGTTTAATGCTATTCAACGGCATATCACGTTGAACAGGATTGGCCGATCGTTTTAAATGAAGTTTATTAATGTTCGCGATCGCTCGAAGGTTCCTTTTACTCTTTTCGTTATTCGTCATATTTAATAGAATCTCGATTTAACGAGAGAAAAGCCACCGTGACACTGCTATCATATAAAAAGATTACTCTTTATTTTTTATTTTTTATTTTTTTTTTTTATTATTATTATTATTATTTCTTTTTGAATGGATCAATACACAATTATAGAAAAAAAAATTCTCCTACGTCATTTTAAAGTATATATCTCTAAAATATTAAAAATGATAAGATATCTAAAATATGATAAGATATTGCTTTTGTATGCTGCTACACTTATGTACGTTCCGTTATTAATCTATGCTATGAAATATAGTTAACTATTGTTTAATCGAATGGAATATATAGAATCAAAAATTAATACGCCATCTTAACATTAGAATTATCGATCTATTTTTATCACATTTATCAACTTGATTGATAATGTGATAATATTACTTGAAAAAAAAAAAGAAAAGAAAAGAAAAAGAAGACATTTTATATCCACCGTTATTTCTAGTCTATTATATTTAATAATAATAAACAAAACAAGCTTCTTTGGATTAATTCATAGAAATTCATTACAACTAAGTATAATCCGTTATAATCATATATTTGACAATTAACCTCGGAGGTTAACTCGATTATACATGATCATTAAGTTATAATGATAAAATTGTTTACGATGTTAAGTAAATATAATTAAAGCACTTCATTGCAGCTGTAGTTGCAGTTTCCTCATGGCTTATAAAGGAGTTAAAAATTTAATCTCGTCGGTTCTATCTTGCGACGAAAGGTACATAAGGCAGAAGCGTATAATACAAAAAAAAAAAAAATAAATAAATAAATAAAAAGAGAGAAAATAATCTACGAGCGGACAACACTAAAGCGGTGCATAAATGAGACGGAGATCTTTTAATAAAAAAAAATCGTACTAAATTTTGAAGCCCAACTACGTTGAGCTTGTGCAATTATGCATGGATTTTAACGTTGGTAAAAATTTTGGAAAAAAGAAAATAAAAAGTATATTACTTTTTTTCCGAAATTTCGTAAATACATTTTTTTTCTCCTTCCGCAGTTGCGTCAGAAAATAAAAGAAAAAATAAATAAAACAAATATCGTACGAATTAATTCGTTCTAACAGTTCTTTTGTTAAATTTATCATATAGATGAAATACAATAAATGTGCATTATTTATTTTTCGATTATTAATGATTTTCAATGAAAAGCTTAATAACGTTAATAAATGAAAGATAGATTAAAAAAAGGAAAAAAAGAAAAAAAAAAAGAAAAAAAAAGAAACAAAATTTCAATCAAACTAACGCTTTTGTATTCGAAAATACGCTAATAACGTCATTAAAAGGATCGCTAATTGTCGATGAAAATCTTTCTACCGATTTATTTTAATTATTAATTATGATTAACATCATAAATAAATTCACACGATAACTTACATTAATGTGAGAGGGAGAAAAACGTGAACTAATATGTTCGAGTTGAAATACTTTTAACGTTCGATCCATTAGTTTTACCCGTTAGCGATAGTACCAATACGGAAGTTGATAAATGATCGTCTATAAAAGGTAAAATTCAAGACTTAGATCGATATTATTATAACTGGAACGATCGTTCGAATGTATCTCCTGTGATTTAAATAATTTTACGAATGAGCCATTTTGCGCCGAGCTACAATTTATATCGTTTAACAATTACAATAATAATAATAATAATAATAATAATAATAATAATAATAATAATAATAATAATAATAATAATAATAATAATAACAAAAACAAAAATAATAAAATAATGACAATCGTCCTATAACACGTTATTATTTTGAGAATACAGCTTCGACATGTTACTATAAAAATTTGTGTAAAATCATTTAATACAGTTTCCATGTTCGTACATTGAAATTCCCCATTGTCTATAATAATAATTATACGTGTAAAGAATATGTGTCATTTTTCATAAATAAGTAAGCTCGTAAACATTCTGTCATCATTCAAGATTCTTACCAAAGTTTATTTCATCGTCTTACATTTTTCCGTATCCTGTCTCGGGATCATAACTCAACTCTCAAATGGACAAAAACCAAACAATGAAAGCAGATGCTTTTTCACGAGAAAAGATCTCTCCTTCTCTCTCTCTCTCTCTTTTCGAAATTTTCTTTTGAACATTGAAATATATCTCATAAATGTCATTGGTTTCTACTATAAATGAAATTGGACAGGTACCAAGTAAAATACAGATATGAAAAACAAAATAAAAGAGAAAAAAAAAAGAAAAAATAAAAAGAGAAGAGAAATTATAAAAAGCGTTTCAATTTTTTCCAAATGTTATATTTCATGTATCTAATTGAATTTGAACCGAACGTATCCAGTCATTCATTGTAACGTTAATGCACGCATTTGTTCAAAGCTTCATATACGGGAACGTAGATAAACGTATTTGATTCATCGTGCGTTCATTTGAATTTTATCAGGGAATATTAAACGCGATAGAAAGAGAGTGCTTTTGGATAGATACGTAAAAGTAAGTAAGTAACTTACTTACTTACTTACTTACTTACTTACTTACTTACTTTGTACTTATATCACGTGAATGATATTCATCTCAATTCGAATTTCTAACGCATTAAAGTTTGAAATTAAATAATCCATTCTCTTGGAACTTTTCATCGATTATTTTCAAACGATCCGTACCGCGTCTAGTTCGAATTTTTTTTCTTTATTTATTTTTCTCGAATTTCCTTGATTCCTTTCCAGTTTTCTTCGTTTCTCCTTTTATTTTTATAGATATTGTAAAAGTATCGCGATTCTACGCGTAATATACTGCAAACAACCTAGAAACTTTCTCACTTTCGTATTATACAAAGGCGTTGGAATCGAGAGGAGAAGATACTACGGCTTTAGTTTCATACGTTGCTCGAGAGAAAGGCGTTAGCCGAAGTAAAGAAGTTGAAATTCGCTTTCGTACCAAGTACCGTCAATTTTCACGAAGTTGTCTGCTCCAGCGAAATCGTGAGGAGCTTGGCGGGATAAAGGGGGGAAGTGGGGGGAAGGGGAATCGGTTCTATGCAATTCGAAGCGATACGAGAAGGAGCTAAGAGTGTTACTGTGGCGCTTGGGAAAGAACCGAATTTCCAGTAAAATCTGAACGATGAAAGGCTATGCTTATAGGTTATTTGCTAGCTTTACGCAGTCGGCATCTTGAAAGACTCCAAAATGTGAAAAGCTTGGTAAAAAGGAGTGAAAGAGAAAGAGAGAAAGAAAGAGAGAGAGAGAGAGAGAGAGAGAGAGAGAGAGATAGAAAGAGAGAGAGAGAGAGAGAGAGAGAGAGAAAGAAAAAGCTATTTCTAGCGTATCATAACCAAGTCAACGAGAACGTCTACGTATTTCGTTTACCGGAAAAGCAATTGGATTTTCGAAAAGAAAGAGAGAATATATTTATTCTAACGTCTATTTTTATCGCATTTGACATCCTTCGCTAGAAGATTATACGAGCAATTTTATCCTTTTTGTTTTTAAGTTTTCTGTTTATTTTTTATTATTATTATTATTATTATTTTTTTTTTCTTTTTTTTTTTTGAAAATATTATGGATCATATTATCACGATAAATAATGATCTTATCTATTTCAAAGTAATTATTAATATTAGATATATAGATTTATTATACAGGAATGGCTATTAATTCAAGAATTTGATAGAGGATCCAAAAAAAAAAAAGAAAAAAAAAAAAGAAAGAAAGAGAAAAGAAGAAAAAGGAAAGATAGGATTTTTTCAAAAGAAATATTTCGAGATGATTGTCGTCAAGGTTTTCGAAAACTTTTAGTCGTCGAAGCTTTTATTCTCATTTCCGTCCGACTTCAAGAGAAGCTCCATTTACGGACACGAGTAGTGTGGATACGTTATTGTCTCGAGTAAGCTGAGACAAAAAAGGAAAGAATAAGAGAAAGAAAGAAAGAAAGAAAGAAAGAAAGAAAGAAAGAAAGAAAGAAAGAAAGAAAGAAAGAAAGAAAGAAAATCGCACAGGCTATCGAAGAAACGTTAGTACCGAACGAGCTGCTCCACCCTCTTTGAGAAACTCGTACGTGGCCAAGTAGCAAGCTTCCCTTTTAGAAACCATTACTATCGGGGCGACACTTTACACTAAAGGCTTCACTACGTATTGCCGGAAAAGCAACCTTCTCCGTAGATGCAACCAATCGAATTCGTTTCGTTTCGATGAAATGCTCAATTGAGAACCGAGAACGACGCTCTTAATAGATCTTTTTATAACTCAACGAATCTCGCAAATTCGATTTCGATCTTTGCATTCATTCAGAAGTATGCATTAAGAAAATAAGCGTCAGAGTGAAAAAAAAAGCGTCGTACCTTTTTTTTTATGCATGTCACATTATTATCACGAAATTATTTCTTCCTTATTGAATTATTTCTCGCACACGAGAATTATTTTATCTTTTTTTATTTCTATTCTTTACTTTTTTTCTATTCTT